AGCTAAATAATAAAACAAAACCCCTTCTAAACAGCAAAGGGAATAACATTGTAAAGAGACAACCTACAGAATGGGAGAAAATTTGCCAGCTATCCATCTGATGAAGGATTAACAACCAGAATATATAAGGAACTCAAACAACTTGATAGCAAAAATGACAACAACAAAAACAAACATCTGATTTAAAAATGGGCAAATACGCTGAATAGACATTTCACAGAAGAAGACATACAAATGGTCAACAGGTATATGGAAAAATATTCATCATCACTAGTCGTCTGAGAAATGCAAATCAAAACCACAATGAGATATCATCTCACTCACAGTTAAAATAGTTATTATCAAAAAGTCAAAAAACTTTGAGTGCCCAACATGTGAGAAGGGAAATTCTGCCTCGGAACACACATTCTCACTGAGGAACCTGAAAGTCCAGATCACAGGAGAAGGATTTAACCTAGAGCTGAAACAAATTTAGAGAGCTGAGTGAAATATGAAGGTAGAAGAAGCCATGGGAAAAGCCATATAGGCACTCCCAGTCCCCAGAGAAGGCCAGGAAAGCCATTTGACTTTTTCTCACAGGAGTCTTTGTGGCAGGGGGCTGCCAGTGGGATTGGGAAAGACCGCAGGGGGAAAGAAACTTCAAGCTGAACTTTGTAATAATTTTGATGGAGTGTCAATTTTCCTGGGCAAAATGGAGAGGAGGGTGAACACGAAGTGCAGATAAGAGCATGGAAGCCACAACAGGCAGGGAGAGGTGGGGCCTGAAAGCCCTGCTTGCTTTCTCAGCAGGGAAGCTTGTAGCCTGGGGCAAGATCTAGCTGCCTGGATATAAACTCCTACAGTTGATGGGGCATGGTGGGAGTGATATTGGCTTTGCTGGCTGCATGGGAGCCAGATGAGACCTGTCACTGCCAGCTTTCCCTCACTTCCCTTGTGACCCGTATGACGCTGCAGAGGCAGCCATAATCCCCTTGGGGACATACCTCCATTGGCCTGAGAGCCACACACCCATCCCCCATAGTGGCTGCCGCAAGCCTCATCCAAAGAGTGTCTGAGCTCAGACATGTATAACCCTGCCGCCACCTGATGGTCTTTCTCTACCCACCCTGGTATCTGAAGACAAGAGAAATAATCTCTTGGGAGCTCTATGACTCCGCCTCCCGCCCCCCACCCCACCCAGTGCTTGAGAATCCTCAATATTTATCCAGGTGACCTTATGGCAAGCTAGCGTCCCCCCACACTACCGCAGCTGATGCACTTTTGAAAGCACTACTTACTGGCTGGAGGCCAACCAACCCAAGTCATTATAACAATTCATAAAATTGCTTGAAATGGGGAGGTGGAGGTTGCAGTGAGCTGAGGTCGTGCCATTGCACTCCAGCCTGGGCAACAAGACCAAAACTCCATCTTGCTCCAAGGAAGGGGAAAACAACAGTTAATTCCACCATATGTGACATCCTGGTTACCAGAGGTCCTGAGTCTGTCCACGCGACAACTTCACTGCTAACACAACAGCATTTGAGAAAGTGTACTAAACAAAACTACAACCAAGGACTCTCACAGAGTTCACTTCCTTGCCACCTGCACTGGAGCAGGTGCTGGTATCTGCTGCTGAGAAACCTGAAAATGGATCATCTCACAGGACGTTGCAGAAACTCACCAGTACCAGCCCAGAGCCCAGTAGCTCCACTGGGTGGCTGGACCCAGAAAAGCAATAACAATCACTGCAGTCCAGCTCTCAGGAAGCTCCATCCCTAGGGCACGGGGAAGAGCACCAGAACAAGGAATCACCCTGTCAGGCCACCAAGTCCAAGCCTGGCCATTATAGCCTTGGTGACCCACATGTACACCTCTGGATGGTCCCCAGGAGCCAGAAAGTCTGAAGTCACCACAAGTAACCAGGTGGCCACAGAGAGAAGTGAAACAACTGGTTTCTGCCTCAACTAATCGTTCTCCCCCTGCAACCTGCAACCTGCAACCATTGTTCCTGCTCAGTCTTGTGGAATTTTCCTCCTGGACATTGGGTTTCTCAGGACCCCCACCCCTATAACTATGTAATTTACCACACCCTCCCCTCTGCTTGCAACCGATAATCCCCACCCTTTTGATCATGCCTGTTTGTAACAGATGACCCCTACCCTTTTGATCATGCATTCCCATGACAGCCTTCCTTTCCCCAAGATAGATTACCAACCCCTGCCCTTGTGACCATGCATCCTATGACGCCCTTCTGCTCTCTGAAATAGATTACTACCTTTAACTGACCACTTGCCCCAACCTATAAAACGAACTCCTACCCACTGCCCTCCACTGACTCTCTTTTCGGACTCAGCCCTCCTGCACCTGGGTGAATAAACAGCCGTGTTGCTCACAAAAAGCCTGCCTGGTGGTCTCTTTACATGAGCAACACACCTAACTTTTTTTAAAAATTTTAAAAAATAGTACTGTGTATAAATGAAGAAAATCAGGCCAGATGTAGTGGCTCAGGTCTGTAATCCCAGCATTTCGGAGGCCAAGGCGGGTGGATCACAAGGTCAAGAGTTCGAGACCAGCCTGGCCAACATAGTGAAACCCTATCTCTACTAAAAATACAAAAAATTAGCCAGGCATGGTGGCAGGTGCCTGTAATCCCAGCTATTTGGGGGGGCTGAGGCAGGAGAATCGCTTGAACCCGGAAGGTGGAGGTTGCAGTGAGCCAAGATTGTGCCATTTCACTCCAGACCAGGCAACAGTACGAGGCTCCGTCTCAAAAAAAAAAAAAAAAAAAGAAAAAAAAAAAAATCTCCAGAGAAATAGGATAAATAAAAAAAACAACTGGCTGGGTGCTGTGGCTCACGACTGTAATCCTAGCAGTTTGGGAGGCTGAAGCGGGTGGATCACTTGAGGTCAGGAGTTCCAGACCAGCCTGACCAACATGGTGAAACCCTATCTCTACTAAAAATACACAGTTAGCCAGGTGTGATAGTATGTGCCTGTAATTCCAGCTACTCAGGAGGCTGAGGCAGGAGAATTACTTGACCCAGGGAGGTGGAAGTTGCAGTGAGCTGAAATCACGCCATTGCACTCCAGCCTGGGCAACAAGAGTGAACTCCATTTAAAAAAATAAATAATAATAACTTCCGTAAATGAGACACGCTTAGAGAAATGCAAAATATACAGAAAATTTCAAAAATAAAATCGAACAAGTAGAAGAAAGAACTTCAGAGCTCAGAGACAAGACATGTGGCAAAGACAAAAAAAGAATTTAAAAAAACGAACAAAGGCTCCAAGAAGTTTGAGATTCTGTTAAATGACCAAACCTAAGAATAATTGGTATTCCTGGGGAAGAAGAGAAATCTAAAAGTCTGGAAAACTTATTTGAGGGAATAATTGAGAAAAACTTTCCTGGCCTTGCTAGAGATCTAAACATTCAAATACAAGAAACTCAAAGAACACCCAGGAAATTCATCTCAAAAAGATCATCACCTAGGCCGGGCACAGTAGCTCATGCCTGTAATCCCGGCACTTTGGGAGACTGAGACAGGCGGATCACCTGAAGTCAGGAGTTCAAGATCAGCTCGACCAACATGGAGAAACCGCCTCTCTACTAAAAATACAAAAATTAGCTGAGCGTGGTGGTGCATGCCTGTAATTCCAGCTACTTGGGAGGCTGAAGCAGGAGAATCCCTTAAAACCCAGGAAGCAGAGGTTGCAGTAAGCCGAGTTCACGCCACTGCACTCCAGCCTTGGCAACAAGAGCAAAACTCCATCTCCAATACATAAATAAATAAATAAATTAATAAAATAATCACCTAGACACACAGTCATCAGGTTATCTAAAGTCAAGGCAAAGGAAAGAATCTTAAGGGTGGTGAAGCAAAAGCATCTAGTAACCTATAAAGGAAAACCTATCAGAATAACAGCAGATTTCTCAGCAGAAACCCTACAGGTTAGAAGGCATTGGGGTCCTATCTTTAGCCTCTTTAAACAAAACAATTATCAACCAAGATTCTTGTATCCAGCAAACCTAAACTTCATAAATGAAGGAAAGATAGTCTTTTTCAAACAAACAAATGCTGAGAGAATTTGGCACTACCAAGCCAGACCTACAAGAAATGCTAAAAGGAATTCTAAATTTTGAAACAAAACCTCAAAATACACCAAAATAACCTCTTTAAAGGATAATCTCACAGGGCCTATAAAACAATAATAAAATTTAAAAAGAAAAAGGTATTCAGACAACAACTAGCAGGATGAACAGAGCAGTACCTCACATCTCAATATTAATGTTGAATGTAAATGGCCTAAATGATCCGCTTAAAAGATGTAGAAGGACAGAATGGATAAGAATTCACCAATCAAGTATCTGCTATCTTAAAGAAACTCAGCTAACACATAAGGACTCACATAAACTTAAGATAAAGGATTAGAAAAAGATATTCCATGCAAATAAACATCAAAAGGATGCAGGAGTATCTATTTTTATATCAGACAAAAAAGAGACCTTAAAGTAACAACAGGTAAAAAAGACAAAGAGAGACATTATGTAATGGTAAAAGGAGTAGTCCAACAGGATAATATTACAATCCTAAACATATATGCACCCAATTCTAGAGCTCCCAAATTTACAAAACAATTACTACTAGACCTAAGAAATGAGATAGATGCCAACACAGTCACAGTGGGGAACTTCAATACTCCACTGACAGCACTGGACAGGTCATCAAGACAGAAAGTCAAAAAAGAACAAATGGACTTAACAGATATTTACAGAACATTCTACCCAACAACTGCAGAATATACATTCTATTTATCTATAAATTCAATGCAATTCCCATCAAAATACCACTGTCATTCTTCACAGAACTAGAAAAAACAATCCTAAAATTCACATGGAACAAAAAAAAGAGCCCACATAGCCAAAACAAGACTAAGCAAAAAGGACAAATCTGGCTGGGCATAGTGGCTTATACCTGTAATCCCAGCACTTTGGGAGGCCAAGGTGGGTGGGTCACTTGAAGGCAGGAGTTCAAGACCATTCTGGCCAACTGGTGAAACTCCATCTCCATCTCTACAAAAATACAAAAAATTAGCCAGGTGTGGTGGTACGCTTCTGTAATCCCAGCTACTTTGGAGGCTAAGGCAGGAGAATTGCTTGAACCCAGGAGGTGGAGGTTGCAATGATTGTACTACTGCACCTCCAGCCTGGGCAATCTCAAAAAAAAAAAGAACAAATCTGGAGGTATTAACATTACGCAACTTCAAACTATACTAAAAGGCCGTAGTCACCAAAACATCATGGTACTGGCATAGAAATAGGCACATAGATGAATGGAACGAAATAGGGAACTGAGAAATAAGCCAAATATTTACAGCCAGCTGATCTTCAACAAAGCAAACAAAAACAAAGTGGGGAAAGGACATCCTATTCAACAAATGATGCTGGGGTAATTGGCAAGCCACATACAGAACAATGAAACTGGATCCTCATCTTTCACCTTATACAATAATCAACTCAAGATGGACCAAAGACTTAAATCTAAGACCTGAAATCATAAAAATTCCAGAAGATAACATTGGGAAAACCCTTCTACACATTGGCTTAGGCAAGGACTTCATGGCCAAGAACCCAAAAGCAAATGCAACAAAAACAAAGATAAATAAATGGAAGTTAATTAAACCAAAAAGCTTCTGTACAGCAAAAGAAATAATCAGCAGAGTAAATGAACAACCAGTAGAGTGGGAGAAAATCTTTCCTATCTATTCTTCCAACAAAGGGCTAATACATAGAATCTACAAGGAATTCAAACAAATCAGCAAGAAAAAAAAAAAAACAACATCAAAAAATAGACGAAGGACATGAATAGACAGTTCTCAAAAGAAGGTATACAAATGGCCAAGAAACATGAAAAAATCCTCAACATTGCTAATTACTGGGGAAATGCAAGTCAAAACCACAGTGTGTTCCAATGCAAGACACCCAAGAAAAAAAAAAAACAAACCGCAGTGTGATACCACCTTCCTCTTGCAAGTATGGCTATAAAAAAAAAGTTTAAAAAAAAGTTAAAAAAAAAAAAAAGAAAGATGTTGATGTGGATGTGGTGAAAAAGGAAAACTTTTTCACCGTTGCTAGGAATGTAAAACAGTACAACCACTGTAGAAAACAGTATGGAGATTCCTTAAAGAACTAAAAGCAGATCTACTATTCGATCCAGCAATCCCACTCCAGGGTATCTACCCAGTGGAAAAGAAGCCTTTATGCAGAAAAGATACTTGGACCTGCACATCCTGCACGTATATCCTGGAATTTTAAATTAAATTTAAAAAAATACTTGCACACACATGTTTATAGCAGCCCAATTTGTAATTGCAAAAATACGGAACCAGCCCAAATGCTTATCAATCACTGAGGAGATAAAGATGTGGCATTTATATACTATGGAATACTACTCAGCCTTAAAAAGGAATGAAATAATGACATTCACAGCAACCTGGATGGAGTTGGAGACCATTATTCTAAATGGAGTAACTCAGGAATAGAAAACCAAACATCATATGTTCTCACTTATAAGTGGGAGCTAAGCTATGAGGATGCAAATGCATAAGAATGATACAGTGGGCTTTGGGGACTCAGGTTGAAGGGTGGGAGGGGGTGAGGGATAAAAGACTACACATTGTACAGTGTACACTGCTCGGGTGATGAATGCACCAAAATCTCAGAAATCACCAGTAAAGAACCTATCCATGTAACACCACATGTTCCCCCCCAAAACCTACTGAAATTTTAAAAAAATTGAACAAAGAAAAAAGACATTATGAAATAAATGAAGACATTTTAGTCATTCTTTTAAACTAAAGGTTTCACTTTACATGCTATTAATTGATTCCATGATCTGAAAAAAAGTCACAATTATTTTGACCCCTTCATTCTCTGCCTGTTTCGGTTTTGCATTAATTCTATGTTAATTTGTGGAGAATTGCCGTATTTTAACAATATTGAGATTTCCTTCCAACAAACATTATATATCTCTCCATTTATTTTGGTCTTTTAAATTTTTTCTTAGCAATATGTCATACTTTTCAATGTAGAGGTCTTACAGATCTTTTGTCAAATTAATTTCTAAGACTTTCCTATCTTTTGTTTGTTTTTTGAGGCAGTCTCGCTCTGGCACCCAGACTGGAGTGCAATGGCACAATCTTGGCTCACTGCAACCTCCACCTCCTGGGTTCAAGCAATTCTCCTGCCTCAGCCTCCTGAGTAGCTTGGATTACAGGTGCCCACCACCACACCCAGCTAATTTTTTTTTTTTTTTTTTTGTATTTTTAGTAGAGATGGGACTTTACCATGTTGCTCAGACTGGTCTCAAACTCTTGACCTCAGGTGATCCACCCGCATCGGCCTCCCAAAGTGCTGGGATTACAGGTGTGAGCCACCTTGCCCAGCCAGTCTTTTAGGTTTTTTAACGCTATTGTGAATGTTTGGTCTTAAAGTTTTCAATTTAGTTCCAGCAACTTTTTTGTACATTCTGTAGAATTTTCTACTTAAAATTATGTCATCTGCAAGTAAAAACAGTTTAACTTCCCCTTTCAATTCTAGATATATTTTATGTGTTTTTCTTGCCTTAACATACTGGCTTGAATCTTTAGTACAATGTTGAATAGAAGTAGTGAGAATGTACATGCTTGCCTTTCTCCTAATCTTAAGGAAAAACATTTAGTCTTTCACCATTCAGTATCATATTAGCTTTAGATTTTGGGGGGTAATTTTACAAAGTTGAGAAAGTTTTATTCCTTCTACTCTTAGATAAGATTTTATTTATTTGTTTGTTTATTTACTTATTTGAGGCAGTCTTGCTCTGTCACCCAGGCTAGAGTACAGTGCTACAATTATGGCTCACTTCAGCCTCAACTTCCTGGGCTCAAACAATCCTCTCACCTCAGCCTTCTGAGTAGCTGGGACTACAGATGCATGTCACTATGCCCTGCTAATTTTTGAATTTTTTGTAGAGGTGGAGTTTCGCCATATTGCCTAAGATAGTCTCGAACTCCTGGGCTCAAGTGATCTTCCCGCCTTAACCTCCCAAGTGCTGAGATTATAAGTATGAGCCACCACACCTGGCTGGTTTTTAATTTATATTTATCTATTTATTTAAGACAGAGTTTTGCTCTTGTTGCCCAGGCTGGAGTGCAATGGCACTATCTTGGCTCCCTGCAACCTCTCCCTCCCAGGTTCAAGCGAATTTCCTGTCTCAGCTTCTCAAGTAGCTGGGATTATGGGCATGCACCACCACTCGTGGTTAATTTTGTATTTTTAGTAGAGACAGGGCTTCACCATGTTGGCCAGGCTGGTTTCAAACTCCTGACCTTAGGTTATCCACCCACCTATGCCTCCCAAAGTGCTGAGATTACAGGCATGAGCCACCCCGCCCAGCCGTGGAAGATTTTTTTAAAAAATCAGGAACACCCTTTTCACCCCATGTTCTGCCCCCACCCCGTTTTCAGTTTAGCATGAGGTCACACTGTGTTAGCAGGCCTGTGCTGACCACAGCCGGCGCCCAGGCCTCAGAGTTCTGGATGCTTCTGTGAGGCTCCAACAGGCATCGGCTTCCCTTCTGCAGGCAGAGGGGCTGCTTCCCACAGGCCTCTGAGCTCTAGGCCTCTGTGGCCATGGGTGTGGAGATGGGAAGATGTTCCAGGCTGCCTTCTCCTCCTGAGTTTTCGCTGGAAAAACTCTTGAATGTCTGAATGAGGGTCCTGCTTAGCCCTTTGGCCTGTGAGATGCTTTGACAATTTTTATTTTTTTAAGATGAAGCAAGATGTCTATAGCGGTAATTGCCTAACATTAAAATGTTACCGATTGCAGGAGTGGTGACTGCTGAATGTCCTTGGGGAAACTTGGAATCAATAAACTGTTTGTGGAAAAAAAATAAAAATTCAGGAACAGATGCTGAATTTCTGTCAAATCTTTTTTCTGCATCTACTGAGATGAACACATAGTAGGTTTGTTTTTTGTTTGGTTTGGTTTTGATTTTTTATGTGGTAAATTCTATTGATTTTCAAATGTTAAACCAAACTTGCATTTCTGAGGGGAAATTCCAGTTGGACATAATGCATTACCATTTTTGGACATTGTTTGATTCATCTCAGTAAAATTTTGCTAAGACTGTTTTTGCATTTATGTTCATTAAATATATTTGTCCTTAGTTTCTGTTTGTTTGTATGTTTGAGTCTTGTATTTGTTGTATTTTGGTGTCTGAGTAATGCTAACCTCTAGTCTCATAGGATGAGTTAGTATTTTATTCTTCTCAAATTTTTGGAAGAATTTGCATAGCTTTGGTATTATTTATTTCCTAAATGTTTGGTAGAATTCACCAAAGAATTTAATTGTTAAAATGTGTTTTTTAGTTTTTAGCTTTTAAGTTCAGGGTTACATGTGCAGGTTTGTTATATAGGTAAACTTACGTCATGGGGGTTCGTTGTACAGATTATTTCGTTATCCAGTATTAAGCCTAGTACCCATTACTTGTTTTTCCTGATCCTCCCCCTCCTCCTAACCTCCACCCTCTAATAGGCCTCAGTGTGTGTTGTTCTCCTGTATGTGTCCACGTATTATCATTTAGCTTCCACATATAAGTGAGAACATGCAGTATTTGTGTTTTCTGTTCCTGTGTTAGTTTGCTAAGGGTGATGGCCTCCAGCTCCATCTGTGTTCCTCCATAGGACAGGATCTCATTCTTTCTTATGGCTGCATGGTATTCCATGGTGCGTATGTACCACATTTTCTTTATCCAGTCTATCATTGCTGGGCATTTAGGTTGATTCCATATCTTTGCTGTTGTAAATAGTGCTGCAATGAATATATGCATGCATGTGTCTTTATAATAGAACAATTTATATTCTTCTGGGCATATATCCAGTAATGGAATTGCTAAATCAAATGGTATTTCTGTTTTTAGGTCTCACTAAAGAATTTACATGAGACTGGAATAGTTTTATTTTAATAGGAAGATTTTAGCTACAGGTGCAA